TTTCTTAACACCTAGAACATCAATATGATGTCCAACGTTGGTATGCACATAGTTGCCCGTAAATCGGCCCAACACCAATATTTTTAGTGCATGTTTTGTTGATAGATTATTTTATAATCACTTATGATTAAAAATAATTTTTATATTTATATATTTTCGTAAATTATTACTCGCTTATTATTTATACATTCCATACTATCTATAAAATTATAAATAATTAATATACCTAAATCAAAACATTGATTGGACTCGTACTTTCTACATGAACATAAAGATTGACATAGAGCCGACATAATGTCATGAGACATTCTATAATTAGACAATTTAAAATACAGGCAACTTTTGCATCCAAATATCCAATTATTTATTGAATGCAAAACTTTCTATCTAATCCTAATGCCAAAGTAGTTTTATCTCTCGTCCTTTACACGAAAAAAAAAAAAAACAGTCGTTTTTGCTTTACAAGTGGACTGCATTAGGCTGTCTTATCCACGCACTGTGGAAACGCGAGGACGGCACCTGTGTGTCTTCATTATCACACATAGTGAAAGTGCACTGTGTGTGGTTGCTAGGCACTGATATTTCCAAATTGAATTGCTTGTCATCCTAGTTTGACATAATCCCACTTCACGTTTGGGGCGATCATGGTTCGATTCTAATTAAATCAATCTTTAGACACGAGTTCCACTCGATCATATGAATAGATCAAGCTCAGCTCATACTAACAAACTAGGCTTGATTCGACTTTCGACTTGTGCACCTTATGAGGTCATGACTGCTTATTTTATGTTAAAAACAAAACAAACTAAAAAAAAATCGAAAAATTCAAAACAAAACAAACATAGCCCAAGACGAGTTAGCTTGTGGGCCAGACGAGACCCGAGCAACCAATTGGCCAAGCCGGAAGAGCTAAAACCCGTGAACGGTTCTATCCATTTGCCATCCCGAATTCACGCGCACACGTGTTGGCCCTTTATTGTTGGGTTAAACCCCTTTATTAGGGCCACAACCGGTTCAATCATGATCAAAATCGGTCCGGTTAAATTTAGAAAACCTCTAATTAAAAACCCGTCCAAAAATTCATTAAATAAGTCGGTTATTGCAAAACCCGTGACCCATTCCCGATTAGTCGGTTCAACCCATGCAAATGTATATTTTTTAAAATTTTTGTGAATGTATGTTTTTAAATCATAAACATCACTGATCAATGATGCTTTACTTATCCAGAGAAAGTTATGTTCGCGAGTTTTTTATTGGATGTACTCATTTTAAGTTCTAACGATTGGACATTTTGTTGTACTGAACTTCAAAATAAGAAAACTCTATTTTTCACGGTTCAATAGTACCATTTAAGAGTTTTTCAAATTAAAAATTTAGGTAAATTAGTAAAATATCATAAAACAAATCAACTTGATTTAAAGAATAATTAAATAAAACTGCAGAGAGTTAGAAAATTTTGCATAGTCCACTTTGAACCAAACAATAAATTTGAACTTTACACAATGAGATATATTATTAAAGACTATAAGTAAAAAATTCCTTAATATTTAACAAACTTTCAGATGAAATAGAGATACTTTAAATAAATTCCTCAATATTTAGCAAAATAAACTTTAAAAAAGAAAAAAGAGATAACTTTATAACAAACAATAATTCTTATTTTAAATTTTATTGCAGTCAAATTAGAGAATTTCAGAGTGTAAGAGTATTACGTGGGACAAACCTCTTGGTGGATCATCCCACTAGAGAGTTGAGTCGAGTTAAGCAGCGAAAGCCCCACTAAAAAGTCAAAGGAATGTCAGTAGAACGGGTAAAACCACACTTCAATTTGGCGAGTAAACTCGCGTGGTGAGCCGAGTCATGCCTGAAAGTAGGTGAACCAAGTAATTCGATTCATTTTAACACCCTTACATACATTAGTATTTGCCTGTATCTACATAGTTGACTCATCATTTCGCCTAATTCTTCTATATATTAACAGTGGCTATATAACGGAATTTCTTGTTTTTAACGGAAAAACTAACGGAATTTGTTGTTTTAACGGACTATGTAACGGAATTTCTTGTTTTAAACAGGCAGTTGTACCTTCTTTCAATATTTTTATCATAACTTTGTATTCCGATATCCGATTGAGGCGATTCAAAATGAGTTGGAAAGCTAACTCATCTGGCTACAACTTTGATTCAGACATCATTCTCCAATTCGATCACTTTCTATACCAAAAATAGGTCTCAATATGAGACTAAAACATCGGAGCATAACTTTTCGGTTGGAAATTGATTTGTGATCATCTCAGTATTTTTATCATAACTTTGTATTCCGATATCCGATTGAGGCGATTCAAAATGCGTTGGAAAGCTAACTCATCTGGCTACAACTTTGATTCAGACATCATTCTCCAATTCGATCACTTTCTATTCCAAAAATAGGTTTCAATATGAGACTAAAATATCGGAGCATAACTTTTCGGTTGGAAATAGATTTGTGATCATCTCAGTATTTTTATCATAACTTTGTATTCCGATATCCGATTGAGGCAATTCAAAATGCGTTGGAAAGCTAACTCATCTGGCTGCAACTTTGAGTTAGACATCATTCTCCAATTCGATCACTTTCTATACCAAAAATAGGTCTCAATATAAGACTAAAATATCGAAGCATAACTTTTCGGTTGGAAATTGATTTGTGATCATCTTTTGACTAAATTTGATTCCATTGACGTCTTCCTTTATCCAATTGACTCCGAGCACTCTCAAATCTTCATCGTGAGGTTCGGCACAAATTTTAAGTNATGAGTTTCGGCACAACTTTTAAGTATTTACATTTTAGTCCCTGAACTTTGGATCCCTTACAATTTAGCCATTTCTCCAAATTTGTTAACTTTTGCTTATTTTCTTCGATCTCACTAATTTACATCACAACATCAAAATCACACATCTAATTATCAATTACATAAACATTACATCATTAATTATTTAATTAACCAAAAAAATTACATCTTTATTAATAACAAATTAAGAGCTTGTTTGGGAGAGATTTTTGGGGGAATAATTGATTTTGAATAGTGATATAATGAGAAATTTGTGGTCGAAAAAGAAGAGAAAATTATTGATGTAATGAAAAATATTATTTTATTGAAGAATGTGTGGTTGAAAATAAGAATTGATTTACTGTAGAAAAATTTAATCCCTCCCAAATAGGGCCTAATTCTTATACAAAACTATTAAATATAAAATAGGCAAACGTGCATTGCACGTTGCTTGCACCTAATACCACAAATACACGGCTAACCATTTGACTTCCAAAAAATGTTATTTAAAAATCATCGACAAGTGTCAATTTAAAGAAAAATGGCAGCCCCACTCCCAAAGGCACAAAATATCTTCCTAATTCCGTGAACAACTAAGAGGCTGTTTTTTTCGTGTTTCAATTATTAGTTTTGAATTTATTTTGAGTTTTGTGTTTTGAGTGTTCATTTTGAAATTGCTGAAAACGCTTTCTTTTTATCATTTTGAAAAATTGTTTTCAAAAATAAAAAAATGAAGTTCTGGCTTAATGTTAACTGAAAACAGCCAAAACGACTTTTTTTGTAAGTTCCGATTTCCGTTTTCTTTGTAAATTTTAAACTTCTTTTTGAAAATATGTAAGTAAACGAGTTTTCAGTATTTTCGAAAACTGAAAATGACATGATAAGAATAAAGAGAATCGACCCTAATATTTTACTAAGTCTGAGGTAAAAATCAATAACATGAATAGTTTATCGAGTCAATCAATCAATTGTTTAAGATTAGACAAAGCGTTTAACTCCCATATGTGATATGTTCGTTCAACAACCAGGCGGCAATTATTTTTGTCTTGACGTCAACATTCTCTTTTTCAAAGGGGGAAGAATCATTCACTAGCACTGCAAGTGTGCAACTAGCCAACTACTTAGTCACGGATTTAATATAAGCTCAGATTTATTTAGAAAAGACTTTGTGAAATTTTTTTATTTTTTAAGAATGCGTAATTAAAAAATAAAAAAATATAAATATACGTGCAAAATTATTTTATTGAAAAAATATGTATTTAGAAATAAGTTTTGAGGAAAATAAATTTTAAAAAGTATGGACTAAGTAACGACTACAACTTCGTTTTCAAATAATGCCATTATTCAAAACGGCTTTCTATTCGGATAGTTATATATGACTTAAACGACATGTTTGACTTGCTAGATTGAATAGTTTGTTGTATAATATTGCGTACTAAACGTGCATGCTCTAATAAGTAATGAGTTCATGAATTTGACTTGGTCGAAAATTATTCTTTTAATAATTTGTCTTGGCTATCTGACTCGCTGAAGGGTCACCCCATTAGTAATGACGGGCTAATATATAATGATTCAAGTAAACTTTTTTGAACTCATTTGATTTCAAGTTTCAACGAGCTGCCTTGGAACGAAGCCATGGCTAAATACTCTGTTTGGATCCTGCAAGATAACAAAAAAAAAAATAATAATAATAAAAATATCAGTTACCAGTTCTGTTTGCATCCTAGATTCCACTTAGAAAACGTAGTACCTTCAGTTTTAAGGTTTCGGAGTTCCTGCAAAGTATTCAAGATTGCTTCTACTCTTTCCTTGGTTTTTGTAGCATTAGGATCATTGTCATCGATCTAAATTTGCAGAAAACAGAAAAACGAAACAAAAAAAGCGACCGAGTTTTAACATATTTAGAGATGAAACCTCAAATTTAGTAACGTTACATAACAATGGCGTTGTTGTAGAAAAACTTGCTTGTTTCAATTACAATGAAGCATCGTACCTTAGATTTCAGCACGCAAGTGAAATCGTAAAAAACCCCATAGAAATCTGAGATAGTTTTGCTTCCAACAACAGCTTTAGGAGCAAGACCTAAGTTGAACACCAACCAAAACAAGCTTACCCTCTTGTTTGATTTAGCTAAAAAAGTATATAAAAATCCAAGTCAAAATCTCCAATTAACTTTAACCACACCTTTCATGGACCCACAACTTATCAACTTTCATCAAAATCGACTAAAAATCTGATTTTTAAAAAACCAAACACAGACTACAACGTCAGCAAAACAAACACATCATGCCATGAAGGACCGGATGAAGAGAGAATGTCAAGAAATATTCATCTTACCAAATCTCATGTTCTCAACACCTCTAAAGACTTGAATGTTGTTGTAGCACGAAGTTAACGTCCCAATTGCTACAATCTGGAAGTAAACAAATCGAATTCAGATTTGAATATGATTATTGATGCATGATATGATAATGTGAATTTCTATATAAAGGCAAATCTACCTGTGTCATTGCACAAGACTGAAAGATAGTTGGATGTTGCACTGCAGAAATGTACTTCAGGCAATCATCCGCGTGTATCAAAGCATTCGTTATCATCTCGTTCAGGCAGTGTACTGCCTTGATCGAGTTTTTCTCGAATTTTAAGTCCTGAGGCACATAAAAACAAACACATGTAATTGCTCTGGTTGAACCAATAGAAAATAACAAAATCCAAGATGAAGCATTGAAAAGAGAAGTACCTCAGATTTGTCGACATACTTACCCCAAATCTGGCGAGGCCAAAACATACGCAGGTTTTGTAGTGACTTTGGTATCTCATTGTTATCCTCTAGATAGTCTTGGATAATGTCTGCTTTCTGCATTCATTTTGAACAAATATGACAACAAATAGAGACATTGAGTGAAGAAAAGATTTTAACACTAATTGGTACAAAAATTGGAAACTGTACCTGAGCAAATACAGACATTGAGTGGAAAAATTCATCTGGCGGCAAATCTTCTATTCCAGAGGCACAGATTAGCTTCGAAAACCCTAATCCAATAACTCCAGCTACATAGTGACAATATTCATCATAGTCTTCAATTGTTTCTACCTGGAAGTTGTAAGTAGCACTGTCTGAATGATTCGAACTGCCTTAAGAAAAGGTAAGAAAAACGACTCTTTGGCCAAGTAGACTTGAGCTCTGTATTATTGGAATTTTTTAGACGAACCATACACAAGAAATTAAATGGATTATGGAAGATAATTTGTAGAATTTCATCAAGAGCTGTTAAAACACAATTAACACATCTGATGTGTTTATAAAATACCTCCTTGTATAAAAATTTTGCCATTCCAGCACCTATCGTCATGCTTACATCCTCGATCACCTTCTGATAACTGTAATAATGAGAGTTATTTGACATGCAGAGAAGAATGCATATTTCATACACTGACCTAATTATAAAGTGAAATTTTGAAAAATACTTATTTTTAACCGAGTTTTCTTCTTCTAGACTCTGAAAGAACTTTCAACCTGCCAAAATCTACTCTTTTTTTGCTAATCTATTTATATTTAAACGCTTGGGTATAGGAAGTTTTAGTTGTGCAAGTAACAAACATTGACAGCATGAAGTCATCAACAAAAAAAAGTAAATTATTCATTATGATACTCTTATGGCGGGAGCCTCTTGAGTAATTAATTGAAAACATTGAAAGCATGTACTAGAACTTGAGATCGCAGCACTGTTATGAAACATTGACTACCCATTATGATATTCTTATGGCGGGAGCCTCTTGAGAACTTTCTATGCAATACCGCTAGTAGTGGACGCCTCAAGGAAATATGTATTAGGATTCATGTCACAGAAGAAGTAAATTCTAGAGAAAACCTGCTTCCAAGCTCCAGAAAAGAAGTGGAAACATGATGGAACTTATTCATGAGAACTCTGAAGTCCTTCGTACCACCTTGTAAGGGAAAAAAAAAAAGGAAACAACCAGATTAGTGTAACGACCCCACCTCTATGCTCAAATCATTATATCATATGTATTGTTGCTTTGGGTGAGTCTATTACTATCTTACCTCCTATGGCTTTCTACCCATCCCCAAAATTTGAACTCAAGACAGAGACTTAAGTTGAATCCCGTTATCAATTGGACAACTATCTCACAAGGCAGGGGACCGGATGCAAAAAAAAAAATTATTAAGACGTAAGATGGGTAGATGCTCTCCCAAAGTGGATTGTAAGTATGAGTCACCGCTCGAGCATGGGACTTGGATCATTACAATTAGACAACAAATCTAGAGTATTCACGTATTAGATAAGCAGAATGAGTGTAAACAGGCTATACAGGAAGAAACACCAAAAACTCACAAGCAAAATGCCATTCACGATCATAGATGTGACGATGGAAAGCCATCAAGACTGGGGTTTTAACCTCTGTATCCATGCTTGTATCATCCTCTGTCCAAAGGAATAACATAAAAGTGAACACAAGCATGTTTGACATATGAGATACAGCAAAAGCATAGATTGAGACTCAAGAGCGTACCAACAGTGTCGAGTGCGATACATACCAAACTGAGAATGCATACCTGGGAAATTAAGAACTGTAAGTTGAGCATCAATCTCATGGACAAATTAATGTTTTTGACAAGACTTCAAAATCAGTTGAAATTAAGTTTTTCGCAATAACGTTACAGCATCACGAAGATCTGGATCAAGTCGGTGAATGAGGAAGGCTCCATAGACGAAAACTTTGCGAATGATCAAGTAGCAAAATCTCCAATGAGGGACCGACGGGATATGCTTCTCGGCAAGCCTCACCGCTGCATTCAACTCGACTGTCGGGTAAGATTCAGGATCACGGTGACTTGATATCTCCCTTAAATTTACCATTCCCATTTTCCCCAAACAAAAGAAGAAACGAAATATCAGCATTTTGCGTTCATATAATGGCCATTCCACAATCCACAAACATAAAAAAATGGTGGTACGAACTGAAACTTGTAAACAAATTTTACTCACCAGTTGGCAACTGTTAATGAAGTGTTTTTATGGTCCAAGACGGGGGCCATTCTGAGGGAGCTGGAGGAGAGGTGTAAGACCCCCAGTCCGGAGAATCTCCGGCCGGTGGAAGTCGACCGAATGGTCGCCGACGCCATCGCCGGCATAAAACTCAAAGTGCTCATCAGCTACCGTCGGCAACCGCCCCTTCAAACGGACTAGATTGTTTAAATCTTTGGGATAAGTGTTCTGTCTCCGGCTTGGGGTCACAAAAGCAAAAAATAATTGAAAGTAGAGTAACACGTTGTAAGTACTAAATTTCGTATGATGTTAGATGGGTTGTTACGCCAAGATTTTGAATTTTAATTAACCAATACTCAATAGCTAGAGAGCTTAATTCCAAGATTTTGGGCACGTTACTTTTGTATTGATCGGCGGAGACTGCAGCGGGAAGTGTACATTGGGTCTGGAGCTGGCTGTCTAGTTGTCACTGTCGTCCGCAGCGGGTGCCGCAAGCAAAGCATTGAAATTTGCAGAGGGAGATCGATATAGGATAAGTTAGAATTCAATTTAATTGTTTATGTTGGGGCAAACAAGTTCCACATCGATTGTGGGAAAAAAATAAATTCATCATATAATTCAAGTGGGCTACTCTACCCATTACCAATTGGTTTTGGGATGGAACCTCACTTGAGCTTGGTGGAGTGGGCTTGGGTTTTGGATAATTGCTCTCATTAATTCCCTAACAGTGGTATCAGAGCACGGGTTGTGTGGCTAGATAAATCGAGGTGGTGGAAAATTCTCATGAGATGGTGGATCCATGGTAACATAGTGGGTGCAGCTACGATAGATTATCTCGATGTGTGGTGATTTACCTCGTGAACCTTGTTTGAGGGAGTGATTGTTGGGGCAAACAAATCCCACATCGGTTGTGGGAAGAAAATAAATCCACTATATAACCCAAGTGGGCTACTCCACCCATTACCAATTGGTTTTGGGATGGAACCTCACTTGGGAGTGGTGGAGTGGGCTTGGGCTTTGGGTAATTGCTCCCAATAATCCCTAACCGTTTCACATGCAAAACAAATAGGATTTAAAATGCACATAACATCTTCGCAAGAATTTCGATAAGATGGTGCATAATTTATATTTCGATGACTGAAATTTTTACGTTCAAAAAGTTAGACAGAGTTTCAACTTGTCGAAATAAAAAATATAAAAAGAAGTAAAATGGAAGTTTGTAATTTTTGGTCAAGGTAAGAATTAGATTCTTTTGTCCTAAGACGATAATATCCCATATTAATAATCATCTCCGAATGTAATACTGCACAATAAAGGCACTCCAAATTATGAAAACTAATGAACTTACATATATTTTTTTAGGGGAAAATTACACCAAGTCCTATGTTTTAATATCCAATTTCAAAAATCAGATCCAAAGTTTGTTTATTCAAAAATCAGGTTATAATTTAAAAAATTAATATTAATAATTATATTACAAAATCAATTAATCATTAACCTATTTTTTTTACTCTCTCTCTCTCTCCCCCCGTCCCTCCCCTTTCCTTCCGTTCTTCTATCTTTTCCACTCCGACGAAAGGGGACCCTGGCATAGGAGCGCAGCCACTGCTTTCTCATATCAGCGGCGCGATACTTCTGCCCAAGGATGGGGTAGCTCTGCGTAGCGCGCCGCCGCACTGCTGTGTCGTGACTGCGCTTTACGCAATCCAGATTTTATTTTTTTTTACTGGTGCAATGGAGTTTTACGGTGCTGCTGTGTTGCTGTGGGTGTGGTTGCGGTGCGATGGTTAGGTGTGTATGCGTGCGACGACGATGGTCATGGTTATGTTTATGGTGTGGTCGGGAGATCTGAACAGCCTTGATCTAGTATGGGGGTGGTGGGCAACCCATCAATGTCAGGATCCTCACCGTCGCAATTTGGTATGGGATTTTTGGGCTGTGTTTTCAGTCGTGGATGGGGGCTATGGTGGTGGTGGTGGTGTTTGAGTAGCGAAGATAATGTTAGATCTGGCGATGGATCAGGCAAACGGCAGTAAGGGTGGTGGTAGGATGGTGGTGGTGGTGTTGACGGTTAGGATGTTAGCTGCGGTGCTTTGAAACTGTGATTTTGTTGCTCGGAAGTGGTGGTGATGGTGGTGTTGGCGGCGGTGGTCGTGTTGTGCGATGGTGGTGGAGATGCGGCGGTGATGTGCAGTGGTGGATCTGTGCGGTGTGGTGGTGGTGGTCACAAGTGATTTAGTTGAATGTGACCAATAATTGGGTCGGTGTGTGACCAATGAAATAGATAAACTGCGACCAATGCATGCTGTGTGACCTAAAAATTATTAATGTTGACGGTTTGGTGTAGTGGTGGTGGTGAAAAAGTTGGTTGCGATGTTTGAAACTGTGATTTTGTTGCTAAGAAGTGGTGGTGATGGCGGTGGGTGTTGGCGACGGTTGTGCGTTTATGTGGTGTTGGTGTTGGCGGCGATGGTGCAATTTTGTGGTAGTGCGTTGATGGTGATCACAAATGACTTGTTGATTGTGACCAATAAATTGATTGGTGTGTGACCAATGACGAATAAATTGTGACCAATAAATACTGTGTGACCTACAAATTTATTAATTTGTGACCAATAAAAGTAATCCGTAACCTATAATTTGATGTTTTGTAACCATAAAATAAGTTGTGACTTATAAATTTTGTGATTTGTGACCAATAAACAAATTGTGACTTTTAAATTTTTAATTTGTGACCGATAAACGAATCGTGACCTATAAAATTTTTGAATTGTGCCTTAAATTGTTTGAATTGTGACCAAATTGTATAGATCTGTGGCCTTATATATTTATTAATAAAATATATAATTAATTAATTAAATTATAAATAAATTGTATTGAAAACCTGATCTTTGAAATTTAAAATCTCAAACCTTAATTTTGAAATGGTAATACTTAAATACCTTATTTATGTATTGTTCCCTTTTTTAGCCCATGTTTGACAACCATACTTTTTAAACTCCATTTTCTGCATACTCATTTTTAACAACATATTTATATAATAAAATATTCCGATGTTTTAATGACACATTTATAATATATTAAATATCACATCAAGTGAATCATTTTTTGGACGATGAATAATATTATACTTTTCTTTTTCAAAATGTATTTAATTTACAGAGTGTAATAAATACTACAAAATCTTTATTCATGCATGTATTCCTTATTATTAATTCTTAATTAATTAACGTTTACATTCATTTAATTAATATTAATTAGAATTTATCATTTACATTTGCACCCATTTTCATGTTATTAATCTCAATCAATTAACATTAACATTCACATTCATTTAATTAATATTAATTAAAATTTTATATTAAAAAATGCAATTCATTATTCATGTCTATACATGTTAATTAGTATTCAAATTCACTTAATTGAAAATTAAATTATATTCATTTAATATAAATGATTTAACATTCATTGTCACGTATATATTTCTTAATATTAATTCTAAATTAATTAACACTGACGTTAATTCATGTATTATATTTGTTATTTATCTTCATTTACCCATTTATTAGTTCTAATACACTCATTCAAGTATGCATTTCACTATTTACGTGCATGTATAATAATTAATATTTATTTTTAGGAACTTGCATTTATCTCATATTTAGATCAAAACGGTAAATAGAGGATCAAATATTATTTTCACATCATTTATATAGTATTTCAGAATAACCTGCAACGCACGTTCAATTCTGATTAGTTCTCCCAAAAATCATCATGAAACGGAATAGAACATGTACTCTGATGATATGCACTATAAAGTGCTAGACAAAATGTAATAGTGCTTGAATGTGAAATCTCAATTTTCATATATAGGGGTCTTATTATCTCGAGCAACTACTTATACTATGACAATCTACTTGCGGAATAGAACAAGTTCTACCTTCAAGTTTTCATAATTAATTGACATGTCTCGCTTAATCAATTTGTCTAAGTTGGTCAGTAATAACATTTAAATCAATTTCCAACAAAACCAGTTTCTTTTTATTTAAATAATAAAATTCTATACTGATTTCGAAGTTATATTTTTGGTTAACCTCAAAATCATTCGTCTACTTTATGTAGATCTTAACAACTACCTTCCCATCAAATATCAAATGACTCTCATAACTATCATCACCTGAATCCACATATTTGTCGACCTTTTTGTAAAAATATGACAGACGCTCGTAAAACTCATAAGAATCCAAATATTTTCGGATTGAAAGGGACAATATAGTTTCGCCACAAAGCACAACTTTAGCAATAATTTCAAGAAAACTAACATCGTCTCTATTAGAAAAATGTGATTGAACTTTGATATCAATTAATGCACGCGAAGCGTGAAATAAGAAACAAACTAAAAATGTAATACCAAAGAATCAATTATTATTTGATTCATACAAGAGTACTGAATAATTGATTTTATCAATAAACACGTTGATTCAAAATGTTAATACGAAGAATGGATCTAAGAATTGGAGAAAACCTCACAATTTCCTTATTTTTTTATCAATAAACAAGAAGAAAACATAAAACCCTTGACAGGGTTCAAATAATAGTAAATCCTAGAAAAAAAAAAAACCTACGACAATATAAAGACAAAAATACACTCACAAATTCACAATAATAAATAAATGACGAACAATCTTATCAGTCATCTACATTGCCAGAAAAAAAATAAAAATAAAGATGTAATAAATTTAAAAATATAATACTAGAATAAAATGGAAGTTCATACTACAATTTGTTCACAATCTGACCGAGTAAAGTTAAATAGAATGGACTAATGTGCGACAACACGAGCTTCATGTAAGAGTTTGCACATTCACTTGGACACTTAAATCAGTTAAATGTAGAAGGTTCAAACATCAGCATCTATTAATTCGAGGTATTTGCTGATAAGAAGGCGCTTTTCCTTTGAAACTAAACCTGCACGAACAACAAAGTATCAGCAAAAGGAGACAGAAAACCATTTGTACAGCAGTTATCAATTCTGTTCTGATCCCAGATTCAACTGAGGAAATTAAGGTGAAACTATTCCAGTACTAGACATAATTACGAGAAATATTTGTCAGTTAATAACACCCTTCAGTTTCAAAGGAAAATGTACAAACAGAAGTATAGAGACATTTGCAAACTTTACATGCATATCTTTTGCTTATTCGAGGTACTCAACTACATTATAAAATATTTATTGAAATTTCTTCTGAAAGATACCGCAAATTAATTTTCAACAATTTCATTTTTCCCTTTTATTTTCTCCATAAAATCTCAGATTCAAACAGGACAAACATCATTTGTGAAAATTTTGCATATTGACAGGCAGTCAATATGATGAAGATGAGAACAATCTGCAACATTACATCTAGAATGAGAAAAGTTTGAGAGAGAAAGAGACTCCTAGTCAAACACTTACCTCGTGGAATTGTTTCTGGGATCACTCCTGATTATGTATTGTGTACTGGAGGAACAACAAGTTAGTAAAACATTGAAAAAAAAAATGGTAGGAACTCTATGAAGCTAACCCACCTTCTGGTTTAACATTCTGGAGTCCGTCTAAAGTTTTCAAGATTGATTCTACTCTGTCCCTCGTTTTTGTAGCATTGGGATCACTGGCATCAATCTACATATAATGCAGAAAACATAATAGTGGGAATTGAAGGCAACTTTTTCAATAACAAGAGCAGAAAAGTCACTGCAAACAATACAATGTGAAATAACTTGATTGGAGATCTGTCAGTGGGGAACCAAGTGCTACAAAATTGAAATGGCAGTGGACCCAAGTTGCTCACCTATGCAAAGGTTGGGGACTTCCGGTTCCTTGCCAAAAATTTTACGTTTAATGGGCGACCGAGCAATAAGGGAAGGAAAATTGAGAGTTTCAGTTTGGCGTATGTAAAGGCAGCCACATCTTACGAAGGTTATTAAGTCAGTTTCAGCGTCATTCTTCGGTTCCAGCTTTTCACACTACAGTAACATCACTAGAGAGAGCCCTTCTTATAGTCTTGATGAGAGATCAACTTCAAAAAGTGTTTATTTGATGCAATTCAATCATTCAACTTCCTCCTCTATCACTCCACTTCCTAATTCTTTATTTTAAATTACTTTCAGTTTAACATTTTCTTCTAAATTTGCCACTAATACTAGTCACGCCACCTTTTATAACTGATGCACCATGCATCTAGCAACCTTTGTAGAATGCATCTAAACCATCTGAAATGGCTTTACAAGCAACTTATCCTCCTTGGAAACCAATTTAGCCAATCCAAAATTATGCCACTGTCACTCAAGTACCAAAACTTTGTTTCTTAACAATTCAACGTTTCATAGTTTTCGTTGTTTGACTCGTTACCTTAAAACCAAGATAGTTTTTTACAATTTTCACTATATTCCTTCATTTTTATAAATGGGAACTAGTTTACTGTTAGCCAACTGATATGACATCTATTTGGTTGTGATTTATATTTTTAAATAATTTTGTCAACCATGATAAACTACTGTCATCCTTTTCAAGCCTTTTCAACCACCAACAAGAAAAGAAGATCGAGTCACATTCTTTTAAAGTCATACGGATGGATATATGCTTTATTCTTGGCTGTAATAGTTACTGTTATGATACATGATATCTTGGTATTAAGTTGACAAGTTGTGTGAATGACAAGGACACGAAACTTCAAAATTAGTCAAGTAGCATGAGAGTTGTGTTTGTGCAGCAAAACTTGGTTGATTTGTGTGCAGTGAATCAACATACCTTAGATTTCAGCACGCAAGTGCATTTATGAAAATGCCGATGGAAATCTGAGATTGTTTTGGTCCCTTCAACGAGTTCAGGAGTAAGACCTGGGTTATGGATACCACAAAATAAGAAATAATTTCTTATCATGTCCAGTAGATAATATAATGTGCAAGGCACAAAAACCTCATTTTGCACATAAAAGGAGGTGGGAGGGTAATCTACTCAAAATTCAGTTGGTTTTCCTATCATTAGCAAAAAGAATATAGAAAGTTTATCAGTTGATAAGGTTTACATCCTTTAAGGTCCAATAACAGACAAGAACACACATATTGAGTTTAAAAGCACTGAAAGGGCACAAATGCTCATTAATAATTGCAGACAAACCTAACTATTGTAATGCCTTGATATTTTATCTAGGACTGGACATGGTCCGGTTCGGTTCGGTTCAAAAGAGAATCGAACCGAACCTGAATTCTCTGGTAAGTGGAACCATCAGGTTCAAATTAATTATGGAATTGTTCGGGTTCGGTTCCGTACATTAATTAATTTTTTTAATATTTACAATAACGTTACATTAATTTAACTAATGACATGTCTAATTTTAGTTCTTACAAAATAACTTAGTCTAATCTCGTGATATTTTCTGCGCCTCTTTGTTGAGTTTTTCATAGATTTGACTATTAAAATCGTAGGAAGAAGATAGCAAGTTCACAATGATAAAGAGAGGCACAACTGAGCTTTCAATTCGATTTATCCAGAACGGCAGAAACGACACTACGGTAGAATAAGAAATTGAGTAAAATTTAGGTCAATTTGATTAAGTTGGGCTTAAGTTAAAGCATCTCTAAGAGACTCTTTAAACATGAGATTTTCTTTATTTTAAAGAGTCAATATTTAAAATCATACTCCAAGAGACTCTTTAAATTAATATTTTAATTAGAGAGTAGGTTTGGCTCTTCAAATTTGGAAAGTCAAACTCACTCTCTATAATTAAATGCATTCAAAGTGTTTCAATTTTTAATATAGGAAAATAATAAAATTATCTAAAAAAAAGCTATTAAAAATAAAATATAAAGAAAAATAATAAATATTTGNACCATATTTTGAATTTGGACTAAATTAATTAGTTAGCAAATTTATTTAGAAAAAAAATAAAATAATTTGACTTATTTAAGATAAAAAAATTAGGGAGATTCGGTTCTTACTCGATTCTTTCGTTCTCGGTCTAGAACCGAACCAAACTCATCGCTTCTTGATTCAGATAACCTGTTCGAGTATTTAACTTAAGAAAAACCGCTCGATTCAATTTGGGAGTTTTTTCCAACCCTAATTTTATCGATCAGTGGATATCAAGTACTTCTTAATTTTCTAGTCAATTCTCTAAATAACATAAAAAAAGATACACGAGAAGATAATTAAGAACGGTTTCCATCAAAATGGAAGATTTTGCATAGAAGAAAAGTGAGTGAAGAATTATTAATTATACCATCTGTCAATGTCTCAACGCCTCTAAAGACTTGAATGTTGTTGTAGCACCGAGCTAATATCCAAATCGCTCCAGCCTGGCAGAAACGAAATCAGATGCTTATTTTGATATGGTATATAAATAGGTTGATGCATGATTAGAACCAGTTATGGATCAGGAAACGAAATTATGCAGAACCAGCAGTGGAAAGAACGTTGACATGTTTTCAAAGTTTCTCCATCACCAAAAAGAGTGATTATAGCTGGTATCAGATGTAACATATAGAACAACATGTGGGAGTCTTCAAATTTTCTCTTGTGCTGCCCAAAGTTCTCAGTAGCTAAGAGCGCTCCAAGAATAGTTCTAGCATCATGCAATGTCCCCCATCTGTTAAGTCTTACAAATACAACACCATTGGTAACAATAACTAAACGTTGATTCAATAATGTGTTGAAAGGATCCTAGATTTCCTTTCATACTTGTTACCACTGAATGGTCCTTAAGACGCCGTGAAAGCAAATTAAATGATGCAATCTCGTGACAAGAAATAGCTACAGATTCAATTCGGTTCTTTTTTTTGCTCTCACGACAACCATCATCATATAGGAAATGCTTTTTGAATAGGGTCTTTAAACAATAGCGTACACTAAGAAAGGTCTAAAATATCTTAATATCACTATAAACCCGAATGTACCTGCACTCCCGCAAAACTGCGAAAGATAATTGGATCTCGCACAGCAGAAATGTCCCTTAGGCGATCTTCAGCATGTATCAACGCATTTGTGACCATGTCATTCAGGCAGTATAATGCCTGGATGGAGTTCTTCTCATATTTTAAGTCCTAATGTGCGTAAAACCAAAGATAACTGTCAACAACAAAACTTTCCCTCCTTGATATAGCAGAAAATCTATATCGCAACTTGATCACCAGTAAACTAGATTTAAATTGAAGCATGGAAAACAAATGTACCTCAAGTCTATCAGTATACTTGCTCCAAATTTGTCGAGGCCAAAGCATTCGTGGTTGTGGTGTCTCATTGATATCCTCCAGATAGTCTAGGATAACGTCTGCTTTCTTCAATTATTTCGAAGGAACAGGGGATTTCTATTATATCATGAGCTCAAAGATGACACTAGTATCGATTGCTACACATAATGTAATCAGTACCTGAAGAAATACAGACGATGTGTGGAAGAAAGTACCAGGCGGCAAATCTTTTATTCCAGAAGCATGGAATAGTTTTGACAACCCTAATCCAACTAGTCCGGCTACATAGTGGCAGTATTCATCATAATCATCAATTGTTTCTATCTGGAATGACAAAGTAGCTGTGTCACTATCCCAGCAATTGGACTTGCATCAAACAAAGTTAAGTTAAAACTGTAAAAAATTACTAATCAACTATTTTAAATATATTGATAATGTTTGTGTCATGGGTTAGAAAACAATTATAACATAAAAAATAATTAGCTAACTACACTGTGGACGAAACGACTGAACTCTGTGATACTGAGAATTTTCTTTGATGCTCAAAGCATTACTGAACTACCTCAGGCTTCATGTTCTTAAACATACCTCCTTGCAAATAAACTTTGCCATTCCAGCACCCATCTTCTTAACAACATCCTCAATAACCTCTTGATAACTGTAAAAAAAGGAGAGTTATGAGGCATGCACAAAAGAATGCATATTTTATACATCGAACTAATTATAGGGTAATGTGACTTCAGCCACCATAATACCAGTTCTCAGAAGCAAAACAAATGTGAAAGATACATGCTGTTTTTTAACTGAATTGTCCCACATTTTCACTTCTGAACTCTCCAAACACTGTACATTCAACACGATAAGAATTTTTTATATTGGGCAACTTACATTTAAAGCAGAGGTATAGGAAGTTTTAGACATCAAAACTGATTAACACGGGGCAGCAGAAACCATGTGTAATGAAGAATTCAATGAAAAGCAATATATTTGCCTTACGGATATCCATCATTCAAATTTACCAGTCACATAATAACGACCAGGAAAATAGAGTGTGATAAGATCTACATAGTCAGTTCAGGATGCTCATTAGACATCATCAAAAAGATGTCTAGACATTTCTTAGCGTAACACTTGATATTCAAGAGAGAAGGAAACTGAAAACAGCTCTCTTTCGCTTTCGCCTCAAATAGGAATTTTATCAAGATTTCTGTTGCCCTTTGTGACTGTAGAAACTATTTGCAAAATTTATATAGAGATCTTTTCTTTTTTTTTATTATAACCGTGGATGTCCGGGTCAGCTTGCACGCACCTTGACTAATCCCACGAGGCCCTGAAGTTTACGGTCGGATACTCACCTCAGTGGCTCTGAGGGGACTCGAACTGGTGACCATTGTGGAGCAAACTCAATTCCTTACTAATTGAACAACCCTTTAAGGTTTATATAGAGATCTTCAGATCCATTTGTTTAACTTCCCATCGACAATCTCACAAAGTATCCATAACTCAGGCGTTCATTGGAAACGTATTGGGGTAGTCTTAAGTATTATTAATATTTCAAAGATCGTATGATTTTAACAAGTTGACGCATATCAATCAAGTTGCTCGAAAGTTTCAGAATAATTGTATATCATTGTGTATTAACTCTAGAAAATATGAAACGTTGGAAACTTGTTTCATTTTTGAAGACTTTGCCAATCAAATTGAAAATTAGTAAATACATGACTCAAATCAAAATTGAAATCATCACGGAATAAATAATTGTTTATTAAGGGAAAACCTGATTCCAAGATCCATAAAAGCAGTGGAAACATGATGGAACCTGTTTAGGAGAACTCTGTAGTTCTTTGTACCACCTTTAAGAAAAAATACAAGAAGGATCAGGCAGCAAGTCTAGAGTATTCATAGGTTAGAGAAACAGAGAACTTTTTATACACACAAACTCCCCCATCCTTAAAAGAAAAGCAGCAAGCAAAGATTCAATGTCCTTACAATGGTTGAAAACGATGGAAATCAAAAAAGCGTATTCTGTTAGCGCATCAAATGTGATGGAACAAAATTAACTTATCGATCATCAAGTCGCAACGCATTCTTCAACGTGCAAAGTCCAATAAGCCGAAAGAGTATCAAACATAAAGGAAGAAATATTTAAAACTCACATGCAAACAGCAATTCACGATCATATATGTGGCGGTGAAAAGCCTTCAGAATAGGTACTCTAATCTCGGTAGCTATGCTTGTATCATCCTCTGTCGAAAGGAATGAAATTAATGTGAATAATGACAACAAGGTCAAGTACTTCAAGTAAAAATAATAGTTTGGAATACCATTATAGAGTGTGTATAACCTAATTCTTATCATATTCATGTCAAGCCAAGCCAAGCTCATTTAACATTCCCCCTTCTCTTTTTCCAGCTCCATGACCTCCACCTCCACCTCCACCTGTCTCCTATCCCCTGCCCCGCTGTCCCCACCAGCCCTAATGGCTAATTTAGTGCATGTTTGGCAAAGCTTAAATTATTTTTAACCGCACGTTATGTGGGATCTACAACTTTTATCCACTTTTTAACAGACATTCCATAGTAATCACTGCCTATAGTTTGCAAAATCTATGCTAAACATACTACTAGAAATGTCAATTCATAGTATCTTGAACTTCTGTAATTATTTTTATATTTCAATATTTCATTTTATTTTAAATATTTGTCATTTATATAGTATTATAAGTTTTTATAATTTGTATAAATTATGGGTAGACATGTTAGTTTCCGCGCATTAACAAAAATGTGCTTGAATGAAAATTTTGTGTCATTCATTGCTTTCAAAAGTAAAATTAGGCGTAAATTTGTTTATGCTCTGTTTGTGTCAGCTTCTTGAATCAGAAGAATAAGCAAGCATAATTCAATTTGCTTACTGCAATAGTGTTTCCATTTGATTTGATTTGATTTGAAATCCTGATCTTTCACAATTTTTTCCTACGTTTAATTTCCAGATACGTCAAGAAGTTGAGGACAAGCAAGGATCCACAAGTAAGACGAAATGCCTACTTGCTGTTACACTCAACAACGACACGGTCTTACCAAAACTTAATTTTTTTTTTAAGGATGTTATCATGTATAAGTAAAACTAGTATCTCTTAAGATTAATAATTAAACTATGTCAAATGACCTTTATGAAATTGGCAATTGTCTGCATATGCAGGTACATCCTTTTAGAGGAATCATGCATGCAGTTTTATTTAATTAACAAATGAAATAGAGAAACTCATTATAGTTTAAACATACCAATCTGGTCAAGTGCGCGAAGGAACAAAATGAGAACGCATACCTGCAAAGTGTAAGAAATTTTACGCAATAATCATTCTTCGCAGAAAGGAATATAAACGAACACGAAATTGATATTGACAATACTACTAAACTCTGTAGAAAAATTGCAACTTGGCAGAAAACATGTGGACAATTAGTATAAGTGATGAAACTCAATGCACCTTTTAGTTTTCACGGAGATTGACAGAGTCTGTATCCATTTTTTTAAGATAAGGGATGACCTTGGCTGATTGTCCATTCTATCCAGCATGTTTTAGTTTGCTTGCGGAAGCCACCACCCTTCTTACCCTCTCTTTTCTAGTCAGGGTCAGTTCAAATTACACTGGTGCACTGGGTTTGTTGGTGACAATGGTGGCAGTTTCTTGGATTAACCATGTTGAAAGTTAGAGGGTAGGGTGGCGTCAAAAAGTTTGAGTGCAAATGTTTGTGAACTTTTTACAGAGTCAAAGGTGTAAATACACATTTTTTTTTTAAACATTCAAATACACAATAGGTCCATATAAATAAGAAAAGCATTTCGAATCCAGTTAAATTTTCTCTCTCTTTTCCTCAATGCAGTCAAACGTAACTCAACAACAAAGCATCTAACTAAGCACACGATCACACGGAACATAACTCGAACTCACAAAATTTAGTATTCTCTAAGGTAACTTACAGCATTACGAAGATCTATATCGAATTGATGAAGGATGACGGCAGCGATTGTGAACTCGTTGCGAATAGTCGTGTAGCAAAATCTCCAGTGATGACCCGGAGGTATTTGTTTCTCTGCATGTCTCACCACCATATTCATCTCCTTCATTCCACTGAATTCATGTTGAGGAATTCTCGATTTCTCCCTGAAATTTCCAAATTCCCCGACAAAAGAAAAACCCAAATATAAAGTAATGGACACAAAAGACTGACACAGACTGAAACTTGCGTATAGATTCTACTCACCAGTCAACGACAATTACTTCTGGGTTTTTATGGGACAAGGCCGAGACCATTCTGAGGGAGCTCGAGGAGAAATATGGGACCCCCGGTGCTGCAAATCTAGGGGTGGCGCTCGACGGGAAACTCCCTGGTAAAAAGTTCAAAGTGCTCATTAGCTACCGTCAACAACTTGGTCTCCTAACAACTGGATATATATCGTAATACTGTAAAGTATTTGGCATAAAAGCTGTAACTTAGAATGCTCTCGATCACTACTATTCATTATATAGGTGCGAATAAACATTATTTATTAATATCACATTTTGAGATTGATGATTGTAAAAATAACGAGCGTTGAAAATCTGTGAATTCTTTAATTTTCTACGAAGTTCGATGGGTTGTTACGGCATGTTTTTGATTAATCAATAGCTCGAGAGCTTAATTCCACGATTCTGGGGCATTGCCTTATGCATTGATCGGCAGAAGATGCGGCAGTATCGCTGGAATTGTACATTGGGTCTGGAGCTGGCCGTAGGGTTCTCGTTGTCGTCCATAGCCGGTGCCGCAAGCAAAGCATTGAAGTTCGCAGACAAAGACACGTAGGGGCAAACAAGTCCCATGGGAAGAAAATAATTCCATCGTATAATTCAAGTGGACTACTCCACTCATTATTAATTGATTTTGGGATCGAACTTCACTTGGACCTGATGGAGTGGACTTGAACCTTGAGTAATTGCTCTCGATAATTCCCTAACAAGACATACATTTATCATTTATGTATGAATTTATAAAGTTGGTGAAGGGAAGATATATATGTATGTATGTGTTATCTGGTTAATTGTACGAGTGGTCACTAAACTTTCACCTCACTTGCAATTAGATCATCAAACTAACAGCAATTAGGTCCCTCTATCAAGGCGGCATTAGATAATGTAATAGAAAATAATAAAACATTCTCAAACAAGAGATTAAAGAGCATATCCAAAACTAATGTTGGATTTTGCATAAAAAATCACACAAAATAACGCTATGATGTTCCAAGTAAAATCTCGAAGGGATTTGGGTGAAAATGGAGTAACGGGATAGTAACACGGAGTTAAAATGGAATAAAAAATCAACATAAATAATACAATATGGATAACCACTTTAATTTTAAAAAATATCACTGGAAATAGAAGATTTAAAGGTCGCATACCACTTCAATGCCAATTGTGGAGATTGAAAAAGGAAAAAGAACAAAAGTATACTGAAATTCAAGAACATCATTTTCAGAAAATAGTCCTTGTTTCACTTTCGGTAACTTCTATCTAACAAGGGGCGGAGTCAGCCCGTCGAAGTAGGGAGGTCCCAGAGTTGAAGGGGTGGGGGCCCACGGGGGTTCGGGGGGCAGCGCCAACGAATTTTTTTTTTTTGAAACATTATTTGTTAAAATGAAAGAAGTCGATACTTTGTGATGGAGAAAGGAAATAAAGGAACATAAATTAGTGTAACACAAAAAATTGGATTTGGAATTCATACCATTATTTGTTTTAGTTTTTTATTCATTTGAGGACAAAATGGTAAATACAAAAAATAAAATTTTAAAATAAAAAAAATTTGTCAAAAAATTGGGGGGCCCGGGAACCCCCCTCCCTTCGCCCCCTATATCTGACTCGATTATTTCCTAATAACTCATGTACATCACAGGAAGCCTATTTTGGGTTCACTCAAAGCTTTGGCAACAACCAAAAATCCCCTCGACGAATTAGGATGATCAAAAACTTCAAGGAGTGAATGTGATTTCGTTTGTTTCACTTTGGTCGTGGAACCTTTCCTCTTTCCCTTTTTTTTTCCTCCAAAATAGTGACTGAACCTTTCTGTTTTCTTGCAGCAAAATAATAAGTTCCCAAATTCCATATAGTTAGTTGGTCGACGTTCTAGAAACAAAGCTAGCAACTTTGTAGAATTCCACTCCACTGGTGCCACATTCAACTTATCCTCGAAAACATTTTTGCCGTCAAGTAGAAATAAATTTTAAACAAGTAGATGACCATTCATGCCATGGAGAATTCAAATAAATATAGAAATATAATATTAGCATTAAAATGAAATTCAATATTAGCTGTCAACGCTCCAATTTATTCACATACGGACAAAGGTAAATAGAATGGACTAATTTTTTTGAACAGTTATAGCTTAATTTATTGTATATTTTGTTTATTAGGTGAAATTCAACGAAAGGAAAGGAAGTGAAATTGAAATAAAGAAGCGAACATTGGCAAAAAAATGCAAGATTCAAAATTTGAGGATTAAATTGTAAACACTCAAAAGTTGTGTCCAACTTCACGATAAATGTTCAAGAATGGTAGAGAATGCTAGAAGTTAATTGGATGGCATAACACTTGCACTTTCTTGTCTTTCGCAGTGAGAGTCGGCAACTTCGAATTAGATGACTTGATACGCTGGGCACTCAAATCCAAAACCCTCGTTAAACCCTCTTTGACATCAATATTAACAGTATCTTTCTTCGATTCAACTTTTCTACCCTCGTCAAAATCGTCTTCTTCGTTTTGGAACGCAAAGACATCATTTGCGGGCTCGTGCAAGAGAGGAGTGGGAGAGAAGAAGAGGCGGCGCGTGGAGATGGGAGTACAGGCGGCGGGATTTCGGGGAGGGGAAGACAATGACGTTTGGAGGGGAATGAAAAGGGACTGTTTGCGGTTGGTGTTTATGGAAGAATGAAAATAAGGGAGAGTCGGACGGAGGATAAAACGGCAGCGTTTTAGGTGGGAAGCGGCGGAGGAATTTGCATGCTCTCTCGGGCTGCTCTGAAAATATATATAATATTTATTTAAAATAGATTTAAGGAAAAAAATAGCAAGCGTGGGTGTTTGGTCTAGTGGTATGATTCTCGCTTCGGGTGCGAGAGGTCCCGAGTTCGATTCTCGGAACACCCCTATTTTTATTTTATTTTTAACTTTCGTCTCCTCCTGAAAAAGCGTCGAAATCAATTAGAACCTGTATAATGTGTACAGAACAATGCAGATGACGAATAGTGTTTTGCCTACTTTGAATCTCTTAATACCTCTATCTTTCTAAATGCAAGAAAATGATGATTTTCTCAATTATCATTTCTGAATTCAATTTAGTCCTGGTAATTCCATTTAAATGGGGTCACCCTATATCAATACAATGTTCTAACTGATCAAAGGTGTTCCATTAGACTTTCTAACAGAGTTCTCTCATATAACTTCTAGTACTTGGAGTCTTGGACCAAGGATAAATTTCAAAGGGTTGGTTTGGTACATGTTACTAATAGAATTGAACACCACTTTCGCCACTTCTTATTTTCGATGATGTGTGCTTTTTGCGAGATGTTTCCATCAGTAATTGTCTGTTTTAGTGAGTATGATAAGAGCTGTTGATCCGTAGTCTTTCCTTATTGAACAACTCTGTTAAGATGACTCGGCCTTGTTAAGGTTGTTTGGTTTGTGAACATTAATTTTCTTTCCCTTTTAAAGGGCCGAATGCTGGAAGAGGAAAGTTGCAAGTCATAAATAATCATTTATGGTATTTTTTAGGAGAATATGTGGTTGAAAATAAAGTAAAAATTTATGTTTAATATTATTTTATGAAAGATTGTGTGGTTGAAAATAAGATAGATGAAAAAGTGACAATGCAAAGGGGCCAAATGGGGGTAAGTAACACTTAGTTTGTACGATACAAATTAACAAAGAACAAAGAAAGAGTAATGAAGTTAAAACGTAATAAAATTCACTGCAAGTGCTGACACATTGTAAATTTTTCCCTATAGGCTTTTATAGGAGAAATAAACCTGAAAAGTTGAATACAATATAGAAGGTTCGGCCCATAGTTATTTTTACATATACTGTCTTTCATCAGTTTGAGGGTGATCTTAGGAACTGTAAATGCACCTTCAGAGTCAAGACAATCTCCTGCAAATCCATAAGAGGAGTTCAAGATTTTGATAATAAGTTGGTGTTTGGGTGACCACTGGGTTATGTCATTAGATGAAAATAGGATCAATATTGCTTTCAACTTCATCAACATTTGTAGACGGTGAAATTATCTGTCTGCTCATTAATCTGCATCAAGTCCCAAAAATAACAAATATATCAACAAAACTTATCTATACCCGGAATACATAAATATGTGTCATAGGAGACATAGGGCTAGGGGTGTCGACGAGCCGAACCGCTAGCCGAAACTCTTTGCTCGAGCTCGGCTCGAGTAAAAATGGTTCGAGCTTTTTTTTTTTACCCTAGTAGAGCAAAAGCTCGGCCAAAAAATTTAGGCTCAACCCGAGCTTTCGGCTCAGGCCTTAGCGAGCCGAGCCGGTCAGAGCCGCTCGGTTTTTTTTTTTAAGTTCGTGACAAATCTAATTTTTTTTAAAGAATTTAAAATTTGTGCAATTTAT